TCTCTTCTAAACACACACACATGCTGTGGTACACGTGTGGAACTTGGAGGATGATTTTGGGGACCAGTTCTCCCCTCCACCGTGTGAGTCTGAGGGATTGAACTTTCATAGCCAGGCTTGACAGCAGGCTTCTCTATTTTGGCTGAGCCATCTTCTCGCCAGCCCGAAATCATCTGCACGCCTTTCCTAACCAGGTTGTAGCTCCAGTGATTTCTCCCAGAAACCTGGCAGTAGTTGATACTCTCAGATGAGCTACCCTGTGTGATATGGGGAGAAAGCTTGCTCTGTAACACTGATATGGTCTACTTTTTGGGGTGTGTGTGTGTGTGTTTGGAAGAGTGCCAACTCCCAGCTCCTTACAAGCTTGACCCTGAATGGCCACCCTTGTCCCTCCACCTAAATCCTGAATCCTGTGCTCTTTTCTTGTCTTCACATCTGTTTACGCTTTGGCTGTGGTAGGTTTTGACTGACAGTGACCCAAGCCTGGCTTTGAGGAAAGGGCTGGGGTTCGCCCTCTCTTGCCCACACCTCTGCAGTAGTCGGTGTCACTGGCCAAGTTTACAGGACCATTTGCATCGCAGCACCGCCTCTGGTGGTGAAGGCAGCTCTAAATGCCCACTGGGGCTGTAAAGTGGCTTCCTAGCTTCCAGATCAAGGGCTGGGAGAAATTTCACCCACTATGCATTAAGATTAACAAAAATAATTTCTCAAAATCTGATAATACCTTTTTCTCAATTACCTGATTTTAAACATGAAGCTGAGCCAGGTGTGGTGACACAAGCCTTTAATCCCAGCACTCAAGAGGCAGAGGCAGGTGGACCTCTGTGTGTTCAAGGCCAGCCTGGTCTACAGAGTGAGTTCCAGAACAGCCAAGGGCTGTTACACAGAAAGACTGTGTCTCAAAAAGATGAAGTTGGTCAATGAGGTTCAAATATGACCAAATTCATCACAGGGACTCTTTCAGCTGAGTGCCCAGCCTTTCCAGGATTTCCTGGGACGTTTAAAAAAAAAAAAAAGGCCCCTGACTTACTTGAGGCCAAACCTACATCCAAACCCATGCATTCCTGTCCTCTTGTTTGGTTACCGCTGTGCCTTCCCCACCAAGGCAGACTGAGGGCCATAAGTCAAGATAGGACATGTTTCCTGGAAACCAAGCCTTTTGTTCTGCCAACAGCTGAATGGAAAGCCACCGTCCCTGTCCTAAGTACAGTTGTGTGGGAACCTTTTGATCCAGACGTCTTCAGTCATCCATCCTGAGTAACCCTGAGCCCAGCTCATGAACTTTGGGAGCCTGTCTTTTCATCTGTCAAGGTGAATGCTACCTGCATGGCGTTCTACACAATCAGAGAGAGAGCACACTCAAAACACTGGGGCTGACACTATCTTAGAATAGTTTCAAACTCCTTTCCAATACCCTGTGGTAGTCAATGCTAGCAAACGCTGACTATGTAACCTTCAGGCCCCAGCATGGTGAACTATCTATCTGTACTGGTCCAGTGGCCTTGGGCCTCCTTACAAGCTTTTCTTCTGCTCCTACAGAGAGAGGAGATTCCTTCAGAGTGGCACACAACAAAATTACCTAGGTCACAACCACAGGGTCCTGGTGGGAAAACACCCAAGAAGCCAAGTGCCAACTATACTTGCTACACAGCAAATGGCTCTAAGGCCAGCTACTAGGATGGACTCCAGGACTTCCCAAATGCTGGGTCAACACTCTGACAACTGAGCGTCAAATCTAGGCTCAGAATTAGGTGACAACATGGAAGCTTCTCCATATCCCAGAAGCCGAGGTTCTATCGACTTTCACAGTTAATCCTGCTAATTACTCTTGTGTCTGCAGGACCGAAGTACATCAGAGAAATAACTTTATTTTGATTTGTGGTTTCAGGGGCTGTTGTCACCGTTGAGGGGGGCACAATGGTGTTGTGGTAGCAGAGACCTCACAGTGGCAGTGACCACCCACATGGCAGTGGCTCAGGGAGCAGAGGGCTCCTAAAATTAGAGGCTGGCCCAATAACCTTCAAGAGCAAGCCCCTCCTGTCTTCCTCTCGACAGCCAGGGAGCCACTTCTACTGTCTCTACTGTCCTCCTACCCAACCCAAACAAACAAGCAAATGCAAAAACCACAATGACAACGCTGACAGCTGCTCAAACAAATGCTCAAAACATTAGCTTGTCAGGAACCTCTGAAACCACGTCCCCAACAGACCTGTGAGTTATTAAAGGCCCTGCTGATACTGAGCAAGGCAGGCAGAAGTGGACCCAAGGAATTACTGAGCAGGCCAGGCCTGAAATTCCTTACAATCACCTGTAGTGAAAATTTTGGTTTCTTTAAAAACCCACTTACGGTATGTGAATATTGTTTTAATGCCAGGAGCAGGATATGGGGCTGCTTCAGACTGTCCACAACTATGATTATCTGGTTCTCTCGGAGGGGGCGTGGTCCTTGCCAGCTGCAGATGGTTGAATTCTGGGGACTTTGGAGAGGGTATGAATGGGAGAGCCCTCTAAGGGCCCACGGCGGCAGCTGCTCCCTCTGCTGCTGCGCCTGCCATTGCTGGACTGCTGGAGATACTCTGCCCTTAGTATCAGCAGGAAGTCATCCAGAGAGCTCTACATCCCCTTTCCCTCTGAACTTCTTTCTTGCTTGCCTAGTGTTGGAGGGGGTTGGGACAGAGAAGGATGGTAGATGTAAGAACCCAGTAAAGTAGCCCACAAAAGTACGCCTGAAAAAAAAAATTACGCCTGCAATTAACCACCCAAGCAAGGCTTTGGAACCACATACAGTGTTCCGTTGGTAAGTCTTGAGCCTTTACCATTACTTGGAATCTATTGGGTCTTCATCTACTACTTGGAATAGACAATAAGCAGAGAGCAAAGCCACCCTCAAGCACATGACCCCCTTCTCCTCAGGGACCACAATCAAGAGAATTCCACTGAGTGGAAACACCTGAGCTTCTTTTTTCCTGTTGGGGGAGGCTGTCCCACGAATTGCAGATTTAGTTGTGTCTCTGACACACCTGTCAAGACTCCACCTCTCAGCTGTGATAGCCAAAAAAAAAAAAAAAGCACCCCTTAGTTGAACTTTGATACGGGAACTACTTAGCAGAGCCAGTGTTCCCTTGAGACAGGGTCCTGGCTGGGCCGGCAGCTGATATAGAGAGACCAGGCTGGCCTCTGCCTCTGTGTGCCAGGAATAAATGTGTGCACCATGGCCGGCTCCATTGTGAATTTTTTTAACATCTAATTTTGTGTGTTCGGGTATGACCATGCCACTGTGAACACATGGGCAGAGGACACTGGGTAGCAGTGGGCTCTCTCCTACCATGTAGGTCCCAAGGATCAAACTTAGAACCTCAGGCTTGGGAGCAGGCGCCTTTACATGAGCCACTGCGTGTCAACCCCTTCTCTTTTGTATAGCAAAAACTGACAGATTCGATGGGCTCTCTCTGGCTCACTAAAATCAAATTTCTATGTTATCTTTATTGTTTTGCCTGCCTGTGTGTGGTGTTTGTAACTGCTGACCCTACATCAAAGCTGGGTGTCCTCTTTGACTACTTTCCACAGCCGCCCCCCTCCCCACAGGATTTCACATGAACCCTAAGCTTACTTCCTGCATGCTGGGATTATTAGCATCGACATGTCCACCTGGCTTTTAAATGGGTTCTTAGGATTTGAACTCTGGTCCTTATGCTTGGGTAACAAGCAAGCACTTTTGTCACTGAGACATCTTCCCAGTCTCCTTGTTTAAATCTTTGTATCTTTTTAAAAGATAATTTGTTTTTATTTTAAATCATGTGTCTAGGAGGGTTTGTACATAGGAGTGCAGCTGTCCTTGGAGGCCAGAAGAGGGTCTTGGATCCCCTGGAGCTGGAGTTATGGTCAGTTGTGAGCTCCCAGATCTGCACAGGGACCTGGATCAGGGTCCTTTGCAAGAGCAGCAACTCTGAGCCATCTATCCAGCCCCACAGTTCACACTCTTACATGCTGGGCACTAACTCCAGCCCCTTTCTTCTGTTTTTGAGTTTCGCTATGCAGCCTAGATTAACTCTGGAAGGCACTATAATCTGCTGGCCCCTGGGATTACAGGTGCTCACCACCACACACGAGTGCTTTAGAACATCTTGTGGTGGTTCAAATAACTGGTTTTATGAAATGTTGATACTGTTTTGAGCAACAAGAGGCCTTTTCCTGCAGCTGTGACTTCTCCATCGCCTTTGCGGTCTGCTTTGTGGATATCCCAAGATTGTTTCTCTTAAATACACTGCTGCAGGTTCACGTGGGCTGGCACATGCCTGCGACTCCAGCACTTGGGAGGCTGAGGCAGGAGGAGTTTGAAGTCAGTCTGGGCTACTCTCTTGTCTCCAGAGGGATGTTCTGGAGTTGGAGGACGACATCCCCTCTTCCTAGAACTTAACACCTAATCAACATGGGGTCCCAAACCACTTACTGTCCAGAATCAAACCAGAAACCTCATATTCCAGTTGCATAGGTCTGGTCAGAACAAGTTAGGCAGCAAGAAGTTGTGTGTTTTGTCTTGTCATTTATGTCATCAGGTGCTCTTCTCTCCGAAAAGAATGAAGTGTGCCACTAGTACTAGCAGAATTAGAGAGCTCATAGCTGCCACTATACCCTCACTAAGTTCCAGCAAGTCGTTCAGATGCTTGGGGAACAGCTGCTGAGAACAGGAGGCTTGACACTGACATCTCAAAGGCTGTGACGGAGTGACTGGAAACAAAGCTGTTCTCAAACACAGTCCTTCCCAACAAGGCAGCGGGCCTTGCGGAAGCTTTCCCAGGGCTTCACTCTGCTGCTGTTTAAAGCAAATGCCCCATTCAAAAGGTGCTGGCGTACTTGCTATCACTGGCCTTTAAAGAGGAATGGGGTTACGGGAATGAAAGTGTATAATTAGTATAGAATCCTTTTCAGTAGGGAAGGTAAGTATAAAGGACAGAGAAAGGACAGGCTCTGGAGGCCGTGCAATCAGTGCACACCAGAAATGCATTTCAACTTTTATTTGAAAACAACTTAAATTTTTAGACAAATGATTTTAGTATATAAATTTGATTTTGTTTTTATACAGAATATAAAGATTTCCCTCATTAATCTTCCATGTGAAGGGGATTACAGGCCAGAAGGAAGACACGTTCTGCACACAAAGTATACCTTGTATGTGTGGCGCTGGAGACAAATGGTGTCATGCTCCTGCACATAAATTAGGACCAAGTGGTGACATCACACATGGGGTGGGGGAGAAATAGTCTAGTCAATCAGATTCAAGAAGCAAACGACACAGAAACTGCAAATAAGACCAAGTTGGCAACTTTAGTCAGGACACTGCAGGTTCTACGGGCTCGTGACATCACAGTGTGCGCATGGACACAGCAGGGAAGAGCTACTTAGAGGCTGAAGCAAGGGAGTTTTCACTAAAGCAAATTAACTTCTTGTCAACTGCCAAACAAAACCGAATGAAAGGGGAGCGTGTGAGCGTTAGTCGAGCCGGGGCGTGTTACAGCAGTGTCTGTGCAGCATGCTATGTTAGTTACAATGTCTTCAGTGTGTGGGGGGTCAGTAATGGCCTCATTCTGCTTCTTCCTGCCAAACTCAGGCATGTCTTATTTTAGACGGAGTATAGCTTTTATCTATTGTCTCATCCTGCAAAAACATGTGAAGACAACGTTCATTCTGGGCCAGAGGATGACCAGCGACCCTGGAAAAAAAGAACAAAAACAATTTTCTAGTCCATTGTTTACTAATGGTAGGATGTTTACTAGTGGTAGGATGGGGTCAAAACACACACATTTTAAGGTTAGGAGATTTGTACTATTTATTAAATGCAAGCATTATTCTGAACTACTCATAAGCTGTGCTATCAAATAATGGTCTTTTCTTTTGGTTCATAGAAGTGATTTAAAAGACATTTTAGAAACTGTGAGATGGCTCAGCAAGCAAGGGTACTTTTGGCCAACTCTGCTGTCCTAAGTTCGACCCCCAGGACCTCAAATGGTGGAAGGAAAGCAATGACTCCGCCAATTATCTCCTATGCTTTACATGTGTGCATGTGCACGCACACACAGGCACACACTTATACACAAATGTAATCATAAGAAAATAAAAATGACTTAAAACTCTGTAGTTTCTGGAATGCGTATCTAATTAGCTTAATTAGTTGGTACCTGCCTAAGACACTTACATTTTATTGTTCCATGTGAAATAGTTCACTGGATTTTAATAATCTATTTTAAACATACAGGATCTAAACCAGGAATGTTAGCCCTTGCCTGTAATCCCAGAACAGCAGAGGCTAAGAAGGGAGGCTCTTTGTTTGAGGCCAGTTTGGGCAAATATAAAGAGATAAAACAAAATATAACAGGGATAGATTTTAAGTTAGAAATACAGGAAGCTCCATAATAAACAGGAAGAAACACACCAATGTTTAGGTGTTCTGCTTTTCTCTCTTTCTCTCCCCTTCCCCACCTAAGTTTTCCTCTGTAACTGGCAGTCAGACTTGTGTTTCAGACCTAGTTTAGCTTTGCTTTCTTTCTCTGAGTATGTGTCCACAGAAAGGTAAGTGCAGGGGCCTGTGGTGAACACCTGTCATCTCAGCACCTTGTGGAGGGCTCAAGGCCAGCCTGGGCTACACAGTGAGACCTTGTGTACACCCTCTGCCAAAAAGAAAACCACAGCCACACATGAAGGTTGTGTGCTGCTACGGTAGATGCCCCAGTTAGAGGCTTTTGTTTACCTCTCACAGACAGCAAATTGTTACAAATCCCTGTGTGCTCACACAGCCTCGCTGTCTGAGATTTCACTAACATAATTACAGTGGGCACAGTCCAACGCCTGCAGCTCAGCTACTCAAAAGGCTAAGACTGGAGGACTGCTACAGCCCAGTTCAGGGACAATGAGCAGTGTCTGAACATCTGTCCATCCATCTATCTGGCTGTCTCACTCTCCCCTTCCTCCTGCTCCCTGCAGCCCCAGCTGAGTGCGACCTGCAACACTTCCAGTCAGCTTTCCTAGCGCAGGCCACCGAAAGCTTCCTTTCTTAAAGGGAGAAAGAGAGAAAGAGAGAAAAAGAAAAGGGATGGAAAGATGTAATACTGGTTTGAACTTAGCAACCAACAGTTACTAAAATACAAACAATCCTAAATTTTCTTACATTTAAAAAAAACATTTTGTCATGAAAACAATTTTTATGTACAATTTTACATAAAACATGCTGATAATATTGCTACCTGCAATCAAATAAAATGATTGCAAATATATTGTGCATTTTATTATTCACATGAGAACATACCTTAAATCAGAATCATGAGTAAAAATATTTTCTGAATGATGCAATTTTAAATGCAATTTGCATAAATTATCCAAGAACAACAAATAAAAAACTTAGGTCAACATAGACTCCCTCACGTCAGCCACTTAAGAGTATTGGCATTTACCACAGGCTGTCCAACTTAGAGACATTTTCACTTTGTTTAGATGGCTCAGAAGTCAGGAAATGGCCAAAAGGAAAGGCAGCATGGATTTAGCTTAACATTTAAATGACAAGCAGTCAGGGCTGGAGATGGCTCAGCAATTAAGAGCACTGCCTGCTCTCATAGAGGACCTGGGGCTGATTCCCAGCATGCATGGGCACAGACACACATGCAGGCAAAACATCCAAATACACACAATAAAGTACTAAATCAATGAGGGCTGACTAGTCAGCTGATGCCTCACAGCACTGACCTCCACCCTGAGGGACAGAAAGAACTTACTTGTTTATAAACTGCTCCAGCCCTTGTTTCCTCTCCTCGATGAAACTGTCATCAAATATCCCGTCGTCCCCTCTAAAAGGGAGCTGCCGCAAAAACGCTTTCCCAGGGAGCGGAGGGACCACCACCTACGACAGTAGGAACAAAGTGAATCCGTGATGCTGCCAACCCAGAAAACGCTCTGCGGTGAAGCGCCAGTGCCAGTCCATCGCCCGAGCATGGCTGCCCTGGACCCACACAGTGGAAGGATCCACAGGTTCTAACAGTGCCACCTAGCAGGAAGGGAAGAACATCTCCACTTACAAAATCTATGAAAGGAAAAAAAGAAAGGAGCTGGAGAGATGGCTCAGCAGCTAAGAGCACTGGCTGCTCTTCCAGGTTTGATTCCCAGCACCACTTGGCAGCTCACAACTCTTGTAGCTTCAGCTCCAAGGGACCCGACACCTTCCCTGGCATACAAATAAAATTTAAAAACAAAACAAAACACCCTGCCCCCACAAACCAGTAACATTAGAATCAATATACTAAACAATCAACTTTAATCCAAGATAAAATACACAGATAAGGTTACTTTGCTTTGCTCTCTGTTTTTGAGATAAGGTCTCATATAGCCCAGGCTACCCTTGCACCTGTTATGTAGCTGAGGATAATCCTGCATTTATGACCCCCCTGCCTCTACCTGAGATTATATAGGCTTAGCCACCATGTTTATGCTGTTTTCAATCTATACATATTCCTCCTAACTGGTCAAAACAGCCATTAGAACCTAAGACTGTTACAGGCAACAGGTTTAATAACCTACAAAAGTCATGAATGGCTTATCTAGCAAAGACCCCCTTAAATATCAAAGAAACTAAGAAAACTTTGCTCCCTGTATTCATTTCTTTATTTTGTGTATATATGTACCTGGGTGTGTAGTACCTAAGAGCACATGTGGACAACTTGCAGGAATCCGATCTTTTCCGTTGTGTGAGCTCCCAAGATTGAACTCAGGTCATCAGGCAAGTGCCTTTATCTGTTAGGCATCTCACCAGCATCATATCCAGTCATTTTAAAGATTTCATTAGAAGTCCTTTCTTTTTGAGACAGGGTCTCAGGTAGCCAGCCCAGGGTATTCATTTTGTAGCTAAGAATGACCTTATGGGTCTGGTCCTCCTGTGCTGGGACTACCTGTGTGTGCCACCACGCTGGGTTTGTGCAGTGTGGGAACTGGGCCTGGGGCTCTGTGCAACATGCAGAGGTGCATGTTGAGGGAAGACCTCAAGGTTATCTTTGGGTAACAGGGAGTTTGAGGCCAACCTGGACTGCATGAAACCCTGTCTGGCACAAATACTTCCTCCATCGAAACCTGTGAATGGAAACCTGTTCATGCCTGTGAGTAAAAGGAGGGCGTCTGGTGAGTATAAGGCTGAAAGCTAAAGTATGTTAAGACAAAAGCCAAAAATTCAAGCCATGAAGACAAACGCAGACACTGAATGTCACTTAGTTTCCAGCTTAGGCCTAAAGTACAAATAAATAACGGAACAACCCACATGCGCTGCTCTTAGCAATAATGGGAGTGAAATTTCCAAAAAGGCTGGACTCCCAAGATACTTATGTGATCCACAAGTGCGAAGTAAAATAGCCCACAAAGAAAGACTGTGGAGCAGATACATGATAAGGAACCTTGGCTTGTTTGCTTTTTACCTTTTTTTTTTTTCAGGTTGAAATTTTAGCTGTATTTTAGTTCTAACTTTACTATTTCGATCCATTGGTTTTTTTTTTAATTTAATTTAATTAATATATTTATTTATTACAATTTATTCACTTTGTATCCCCGCTTCAGGCCCCTTCTCTTCTCCCCCTATGCGCTTTCCCTATTCCCTTTGTAGTGGAGGACCTCCTCCCCTTCTATCTGATCCTAGCCTATCAGGTCTCAGGTCGGCTGCATCATCTTCCATTGTGGCCTAGTAAGACTGCATCCCCCCTCAGGGGGAAGTGATCAAAGAGCCAGCCACCGAGTTCATGTCAGAGACAGCCTCTGTCTCTGCTAGGGAACCCACTTGGAAACTGAGCAGCCAATTGGCTTCCTTTGAACAGGGGGTCTAGGTCCTCTCCATGCATGGTCCTTGGTTGGAGTCAACATCCTTAGTCATCATGGAAATACAAATCAACCATGAAATACAAAACGGACCCTGAGATTTCACCTCACACCCACCAGAATGGCTAAGGTCAAAAACTCAAGTGACAACACATGCTGGAGAGGATGTGGAGAAAGGGGAACCCTCCTTCATTGCTGGTGGGAATGTAACCTTGTACAACCACTTTGGAAATCAATCTGGTGCTTTCTCAGAAAATTAGGAAGTGTTTTTTTACATTTTAGAATACTGTAATAAAAAGGCAACCCAATTAAACAGGCTTTTTAAAAAGGTCAGCAGCAATATTAGCCACCAAATGAAAACCAAAAGCGCAATGATACTACTCCATCTGTAATAAACAAGGGTAAGAATAGGAAGTACAGACACGGACATGGAGAGACGCAGAATGCTCACACTGCCGGCAGGAATGGGAAATGCCACAAACACACTGGTGCACATCTACAGTCCGTGTGTTACTATACAGATGTAATGGTGCACATCTACAGTCCGTGTGTACTTACATATGTACTGGCGCACGTGCAGTTTTACACGGGATGATAAGCGAAGAGGACAGATTGTACTCAGGAGCTGAAAGGCCAATCTGGGCCACAAGGTGAGCTGGAGGCTAGTCTGATTTTGCTCTCAAGGAGAGCAGGAGCAGCTGTGAGCTGACAAGACGAATCAGGAGGTAGAGGCTGCCGGCCTGATGATCTGAGTTTCCTTTCATCTACATGGTGAAAGAAGAACTCACTCCTAAAAGCTGTCCTATGACCTCTGTGGCACTCATGACTACACTCATACATAACCATGTGTAATAAAAAAAAGTTGTTATGCAATTCAGCAACATAATCCAAGGTGTTTATTCAAGAACAGTAGCAACCTAAATGTCTATCAAATGATGAATTGATAGAGATAGGAATCTATCTTTGTGAAAGGGCATTCTTCTAATGTGTGAGGCCCTGGCTTCCATTTCTAGGACAGCAAATGAAGAAAAATAATGGGGGCTGGAGAAATGGCTCAGTGGCTGAGGGTACTGACTGTTCTTCCAGAGGACCCAGGTTCCATTTCCAGAATCCACAGCTCACAGCTGTCTGTAATTCCAGTTTCAGGACAACTGACACCTCTAGTCTCTCTGCACACTGCACACACACACACACACACAGAGCACATTTAACCACATACACTTGCACAAATATACACAGCTAAATAACCATACACATAAAATAATAAATAAATCTTAGAAAACAATTGGACAAATAAAAGTGGTATTTCTATACAACAGGCTATTATTTATAAATACAGGGGCCAAGTGAGGTGGTGCACGCCTTTAATCCCAGCACTATGGGAGGTAGATGCAGGTGGATCTCTGTGAGTTCAAGGGTAGCATGGTCTACAATGTGAGTCCAGGACAGCCAACACTACAAAGAAAAACCCTGTCTTAAAAAAAAAAGAAACATAAACAAACAAGTAAGTAAATAAATAAAGGGGCTAGAGAGGTAGTTCAGCAGTTAAAAGCACATGCAGCTCCTGTAGAGAACCCAGGTTCTGTTCCTACCACCTACACAGCAGCTCCCAACCATCCGTAACTCCAGCAAACCTAACACCTTGCTCTGGCTTCCTAAGTGCCAGATATGTGTATGTATGTAGGCAAAACAAAATACACACAAAATCTTCTTTACAAGTATGATATGTGTTAAAATAAAAGCTTGAAAACACGCAAAGTGAGAGAAGCTACACATAAAAACATTAGGTGTTCTGTGTTCCCATTTATACAAGCAAGGCCATAAAGTACATCAATGATCACTCAGGGGAAGGCGAGGAGGAGCTGGGAAGAAACTGTTATCACTACCCAGAAACACAGGGTTTCATTTACTTTTTCTTTCTTTTTTTCTGGAAATGGTCTTGCTGTGTTGCTCTGGACTGTCACTTGGAGCAATCCTTCCTCTGCTACCTGAGTGCTGGGATTAATTGCGGGTATGATCTACCATACCTAGCAAGTTTCTTTTAGAAGGGTGATTGCTGATCATGAGTTCCTAAACTGACTGTGGTTGTGGCTGTGTAATTCTGAACATTTTAGGTGAATTACGTCACCTCAATTGTATAGCATGCAAATTATCTCTTAATAAAAAGCAGTTGCTGGGGGAGAAAAGCATATAGTCAGCAAACATTTGTTAAACATTCCAGGGACTAGAGAGATGCTCAGCGGTTAAGAGCACTGACCACTCTTCCAGGGGACCCAGGTTCAATTCCCAGCACCCACACGGTAGCTCACAACTGTCCAGTTCTAGTTCCAGAGGATTCAACACCCTCATGCATGCAAACATGCAAGAAAAACACCAATGAATGTAAAAATAAGTATATCATTCTAAACATTCAAGTGTAACATAAACTAAGTTAAAAAAAATGCAGTCTAGCAAAATACTTCTCTATGGACATTAAATTTTTCTTTATTTTCCTAAACTGTTCGATTTTTTAACACACACACACACACACACACACACACACATGCACACACACGTTTGCTTTTTGAGACAGGGTTTCTCTATGCAGGCCTGGCTGTCCCTGAACTCAAGAGATTTTCCTGCTTCTACCTTCTGGAACTAAAGGTGTGCACCACCACGCTTGGATTAATGTGTATATGTACGTGTGTATGTGTGTGTGTGTGTGTGTTTAATTTCCAACTTTTATACACTTAGATCTTCTATCTGCAAATAGCAGCAGCCATATATTGTACTCCTTAATACTCATCCAGATTTTTCAGTCTTTTACTAAGTTCACTTATCCATTGGTGGGTATTATTATGTGGTTTTGGTAAAGATTACATTGGCCTAGTACATGGTAAACATGTACTCTGCCACTGAGATACACGCCTGGTCTCCAATCATGCTCTGTGTTATAAACTAGTCTCCTATAAAAACATGGCTAAACTTTTAAACTCATCACACTCTGCTAGTCTGTATGCAAAGCCCTAAGGCAATACAATGTGTAAAGCTCCTCAGATGTGGGAGAGCAACCTTAAAGCCTTGTGAATAAGTGTCACTGGACTATACACCCCAGCCCCCTTAAACCGCTACATCCTTAAAATATGTTCTTGATATTCAGAACAAATAATGCATCCTCAATATACTGTAAACCACTTTTGAACTCTAAAGCTCAGGTGTCGATCAACTTAGTGTATGGAGACCTCCTGTTGAGATTCCTATCAGAATTTTATGGATTATAATTAAGTTAGGAGATAATGTGCTACTGTTAAGGCAAGGCCTTTACCTTGTCTCCACCACTGCAACTTGTCTAATAGAATGTGATTGCCTTAAAGGGGATCTTCATTTAGTCAGAACTTCATTTATTCACCTGCGACTCCTAGAACAACAGGGTGAGTTTCACATGTTCAGAGTCATTCAGTCATCAGATGTAAACACTGCACACTGGACTGCCTCTGCGTCCTATCTTCCTCCCCCACTTCCAGGCTTTTCCTTACATAGGTTTAGTAAGTCTTCCTCTATTCATGAGTAGTTTGATATTCTGTGGAGTATGGATATTTGGATAGTTTTGAGGAATGTTATGACTTATGCATGATGCTTGTCTCATATATGGCCATCTTTACTTGGCTAAAGTTGTTTTCTTTCCATTTTCTATTTTACAGAGCTTCAGAAAATAACACAGTCTATTGAAGTCAACTTCTTTCTACTATATTCTATTTATAAAACAACTTTTATAAATTTTTCTTCTAAGAGAAGGCAATTCTTAGCAAGGTATACCCCAGCAACGCAATAGTGGATCATGGTCACCACTGAAAATCTAGGCTGGGGTTTGTAAAATCTAGCTCAGTTTGTAGAGTGAACCCCTCATACACACAATGCCCTGGACTTGATCCCCAACACCAGATGTGACTCGGGGCAATGACACATGGCTGTACTCCAGTACTCAGGAGGTAGAGAGGAGACAAAGAGGTCAGTGTCATCTTCAGCTACATAGAGGCCATTCTGAGGGCTGGCGTGTAGCATGAGAACCTGAGTTCAGATTCCTAGCCCCCATATTAAACCTGGAATAACAGCGCCTACAGCCTCAGAACTTGGGGCTGCATGAAGTGGATCTGGCGGGGCTTGCTAGCCAGCCAGCTTAGATGAAATGTCAAACTCCAGGTTCAGTGAGAGACCTAAGGTGGAAAGTGATAGAGGAAAACAAATGAAGTCAACCTCTGGTCTTCATGTGAGCGCACACATGTATGTCAGTCACCTATACCCACCCACAAGCTTATCTGAAGAATATCATTGTGTCAAACAATAAGGTCATCATTTTATGAAACTTATACATACATGTGGGATAATAAAAAAAAAAAATACCATGAGTCAAACAAAACTGAAAAATGTACTGACACTGAGGATGAGGAAGGAAGAACACAAGGCTGAGAAATGTTATTCAAATGTCAATGAGCAAAGGCTCAATTGCACTACTGAGCAGAAAAGGGAAGAGCTCTTCTGAAACAAAGAGGATGACTATTCCTCTTCTCTCAGAGCACAGCATGAAATGGACCCATGTGCAGTAAGACCTACATTGACTGAAAATATGCTCTGGAGATCTTAAGCTAGAACTGTCCATGTTTTGCTTTAAAGTTACATTGTAAGTCATAAAAGAATAGCTCCATTATAAATAATTCTTACCTTGCTCTCTCTTTCTAGTTCACTTCGAAGCCACTCAAAGTCACTGTATCTTCTTCTAACAGTAGATTCCTTCAGCTTGAATATAGGAAGATTTGTCTGAAACCAAAACAGTTACTCCTAAGTTGAAGCACATTAAGGCATTCAGAAAGGAAGATATCTGCCACATTGATAACATGACAAACGTGGTCACCTTACAAGGCACATTACCACTGTCCCCAGCCCTCCTTTTAGTTAATTTTGAGACAGGATCCACTAAGTTACCCAGGCTAAGCCTTGAGTACCACCAATTGTGTAGTCCAGCAGGCCTTGAACCTGCTAACATCCTGCCCTGGCCAGGTGGTTACTTTTTTTTGCAGTGCTGGGGACTAAATCAACAGCTCTGCACACTAAGCTGAGCCATACCTCTAGTCCAAAACTACAACTTCCTTTGTTTTTGTTTTTTTTTTCCTTTGAAATTCATTGATCTTGCAAGAGAGACAGCGTGTGTGAGAGAGTGTATTGTGGAGGTCTAAGCACAACATTCTAGCTGGTTCTTTCTGTCTACCCTGTTCTGAAGTAGGGTCTCTTGTTCTGCCTACTAAGATGTGTATTCCTGGCTGTCTGGTCTGCAAGTTCTGAGAGATTCTTCTGGCTCCACCTCTCATTTTGCTGTAGAAATTGTTGGGATTATAGAAGCCTGCCACCATGTCATTCAACTTTTTAGCATGGGTTCTAGGAGGCTGAATTCATGTCATCAGGCTTGCATGGCATGCCTTTTTATTTGCTGAGCCATCTCTCTGAACCTTAAATATTACCCTTAATTGGTTTCTTTAAAAATGCCAAAAAAAGGCCAGAGAAAGTGTATCTTCTGTATCACTAGTAGAAAATTAAGAAGCTGTGCATGGTGGCGCTTTAATCCCAGGACTTGGGAGGCAGAAGCAGGCAGATCTCATTTAGTTGGAGGCCAGCCCTTTCTACAGAGTGAGTTCTAGGACAGCCAGAGCCATACAGAGAAATCCTGTCTTGAAAAAAACAAAAAACATAACAATAACAACAACAACAACAAAAACCAGTCAAACAAAACAAACAGCCCCCACCCCAACATAAAAAAGGCAATAAGGGAGCTGGAGAGATGGCTCAGCAGCTAAGAGCAAGTATTACTCTCACAGGACTCAAGTTCAGTTCTCAGCAACCAAGCTGGATGGCTCACAATCACCTGTAATGAGGCTCCAAGCAATCCAATACCTTCTTTTGGTCTCTCTGGGCATTGAACTCATTTACACATAACTAGATTTATACACATCTTTACAAATGGTTATGAAGGGCCATAGCTCAGTGGAAGAATATGTTCTTCACCTAGTGAGGTTAAAGTTAAATTATAGTAGGTAAACTAGGCTAACAGAGCCAGATCTTTATAGGATTTAAGAACTGAAAACACGATGTTTAGAATGCTGAGGTTAGTCATAATGCAACACATAGTTTCTGGACTGAAAAGGCTACTTGTTGCTATTTCTGCCAACTTTTGGGGGCTGCCTGGGCATTGGGGTGGGGGAGGAGGTTGAGATAAGACTTCTATGTAGCCCTGGTTATCCTGAAACTTACTACGTAGACCAGGTTAGCCTTTGAATTCACAGATATCTGCCTGTCTCTGCCTCCTAAAAGCATTTAGAGATTAAAGGTGTGTGCCACTATGCCTGACCCAATAACAAGAAGGTCATGATTGGCCGGGGCTATATAGAAAGGCCACTAAAACTCTTAGAAGTGTTTTAGGATTAAAAACGTTAGCAGAAGAAAATATTTTAATATGCATATGAAATCATATAGTCCTTGTAGACCAGAAGTGAAGTAGGATATCAAATGTAAGGCCAGCCTGGGTTCCAAAGATCCTGTCACAAAGTCTGCAGAGCCCAGAAATTCTTTCATGCAGCAAAAGCCAAGCTCTATCAAAATTCTACTTAATGCTACCTACTCTCTTTGGTGAATTTTGTTCTTAATTCAATATTTGCACTTGGAGAATTTGTAAACTGTTTTAAAGCTAAGGAAAAAAAAAGTTAAAACCATCAGGAGAAAAAACACATTTTCTGTTTTGTAGATCAAGACACCATGCACTGCTACGAAATCTCTGCTCATTTGCTAACCTTAATGCTGCCAGTAAAGAGCTGTCAGTCAGCAGAAGAAAGGCTTTCTATTCAGAACCCTAAGTTCATTTTGTAGTGGTGTCAATTTTTTCCAAAGTGTATTAACTTCTATGTTGTACAGCTTAAGAGCGTGGAACCTACTACAGACGCTAGTGGGCAGAACAGCGTATAGGTTTCAAGCATGAAACCAAATCTCAGAAGAGGTTTAAAAGCACTTGAGTTTTCTTTCCCAGGTAACCACAACATTTGTTCATTGTATTAATGACCAGGAGCAAAATTGGACCTAACAAGACTCTTATTATACTAAAAGTCAAACTTGTATTTAGACATGCTGGCTTGCTATACAGGAGCATTCTCATTCCTCAGAAGAAGAAGAAAAAAAAAAAGATCAGGTCCCCTGGAGAGCAGGATGATAATTCCCAGAAAGAAAGCACTGGATTACTTCTCTCTAATTTCACCCATTGGCTTCTTAACCAGTTCACCCTTCCGCATTAAAATATTAAGTCTTTGTAAGTGTCTAAAGATAGAAAGGTCTTTACAGAGCTGAGTATTTTCTGCAGGTGAGATTTTACACTCTGAATTCCCTCCTCTCAAATTACTTTACAAAAGGGATTAACTGCTCTCTTTATTCAGTATGTTAAGATCAAGCCTGTGAAAAGAGGTCCCCAAGAATTTTCATCCTTCTGGGTACGGAAGTCTGTAAAGTTAATCTCTGAAACAACATATCAAGCTTACAGGTACAATGTTGAGGGAAGGGAGCCAACTCAGCTCATTTTACCTTCCATTTTCCCTTTTGAACTTTTGACACAACCATGATTACATCTGATCCTCTCTAATTGAGTGAGGATCGAGGGGAAAGGCTCTTCCCCTCTCCTTTAGCTAGTAGTTTATCTATGTGAAAAAGGACCTTGTAGATTTACTCAGCTGGCGATGATTTCTCTTCTTGTTTCATGGCTACCCTGGAGTTCTGACAAGGCCTAGCAGGAAACGATGGGCTAGGGTGTGACCACAGATGGCTGGGAGCGCACATCCTTGCCCAGTGAGCAGCAGACCCTCTAGCACAGTAAGAACAAGCAAACAGGTGGACATTATCTCCCCACTACATTTAGAATACTGAGCTCGAGTGTGGGTGCCTGCCAACGTTTTTCCTGAGTTAAGTGTGGAAGGCAATCTAGCAATCCCAGAATTAGAGAGGTCGAGGCAGGAGGGTTAGAAAGTCATCCTCAGCTACACAGAAAGTGAAGCCAGCCTGTGCTTCATGACTCCTGGGGCTGGAGAGATGGCTCAGCATTTGGGAGCACTGGCTGCTCTTCTAGAAGACCCAGATTTGGTCCCCTCACCCACATAGTGGCTCATAGCAGTCTATAACTCCAGTTCCAGGAGACCCAAAGTACACACACACATACATGCACACACACATAGAGGCAAAACACTCATATACATAATTAAATAAAATCATTATAAGATCGCTTTAACTTACCTGACCAAAAAGGGGGTGGGGGAAGGACTGTCATGTTTTTGTCTGAACCACTGAGCTACTTGATTGCAAACTCATGTTTGGCCTTTTGCTGTTTATTTAATGCTTATCTATAAATGGCCTGAGGCTGGATATTCCCCCACCTCCCAGCTTTGGAAGACTCATGTATTGTTTACCAAGCATCTATAAGACAACAGTGCTAAATATGAAATCATTTAAAATAATGGAAAAAACATAATCCCATCCCTCATAAAGCTTATGAAACACCAAGGAAAATAGCATTATTATAAAAGTCTGAATTTGTATGGTTAAAACACCACAAATAGGATCTGGTTAGTTCACTAATGGAGCCTTGCCTAGTTTATGCAATGTCTGGGGGTTGATCCCAGTACTCACTAGACCCCTACGTCCCTCCTACATACACTAAACCAACTATACACAAGTTCCCCACCCCCACTAAAAAAAGGGAAACAAATAACAAAAACAGGAGACTAACCGAGCAATTTGTCCAGAATGATGCCAACTGCAACAGGGACTCACTATATATCCCAAGCTGAGTCTCCCCCTCAGAGCTCTTTGAACCCTCAGCTCCCTAGTGCTGGGATTTTTTTAAAAAAAAGGATTTTCTTTTTGATTATGTGTACATATGTGTATGTACATGTGAGTGCATGTGCCCAGAGGCCAGAGGAATTAGATTCCCTGGAGGTACAGGTAGTTAGCTGTGAGCTGCCCAATATGGGTGTAGGGAACCAAACTCTAGTCTTCTGAAAGAGCACATATGCTCTCAATGACAGGGTGACTTAAAGACAGAACTCTCTAGGGATGAGATTACAGTGAATCTGAAGGAAAGCTGGAAGACCTGTTGTGGTTGTGAATTAAAAGTCCTATTGTTTGGTGAAGATGATCTTGAGAAGTCTGATGAAGGCACCCTCAGAAACAAGGGTGGGAAAGCTCTCTGTGCATAATGTGACAGCTGGGAAGGAGCAGGAAGTTCTGCTGCGCTGTTCCACGGCAGGGTGACCAAATAACAAACCGCAGCGCTTCAAAGAGCTACACATGATTCTGAATATTGTTACCAGAAACAAAAGATTAATGTACATGTGAGATCTATTTAAACCGAGCTAAAGACTTCATACTGACATGTATCCAAACACCATATTCAGCTAATAATATTTCATTATGTAAAAATGTTTGTTGTTCTCAGACATTCCCTACCTTGCCCAGGCTAGCCTCAAACCACTCCGCAGCCCTGGGCTGCCTCTGAATTCTAATATTACTGCAGCAGTCTCCTGCGAGCTAAGATTACAGGTGTACACAACACACTTGACCTTAATATGTGCAACTTTTAAGTACCAGAGAAAATAAACAACAAAAAGATGTGTGGACAAGATGGTTCAGCAGGTAGGGGCACCTGCTAGGCCAGACAAGCCTAATGTCCTGACGATGGTTCCCACGACCCACATGATGGTCAGAGAAGAGAGAACTGATTCCCACAGGCTGTC